AGTCCCTAACGTTCTGTGATTCTGTGACCCAAAGAAGCAGCCTCATCCTCTCTCTTCCCCACTCCCATCCCTTATTCTCCTGTTAGGACAATACAAGCATTTCTGCAGCTGTTTGGTCAAGAAATTCAGGGATCTGACCTGGATTTAACAAAAACTCATTTAGGAACAAATACAGTTTATGATGTGGCCACACAGTGCTGGTGGTGGCAACGGGATGGAGCGATGGGAGGAGAGGTGGTGGGACTGCCCTTCTTTAATGGCATGAAACATATCTTAATGTACAACATTAGGTATTTCTGTGCTCCCTGTTCTTCATTTTACACCTAGAGTGTAACATATATATTACACACAGCAAATACAGATTTATCCTCATGCCCCTTGCCGTAAGGATTCCTCTTACACCATTTAAGAGGTGGATTCAGGGCAGAAGGGGCTGCGTTCAGGCAGTGGCTGAGTGGTGCTGCTGTTTCCTCTGCATTTCCTGTGTGGGGAGACGGGTTCAGGCAGCTCAGGATGCCAAAAATTTAAATGATCTCTTGAAACTTCCCAGGTGTGAGATTTGAACCTCAGTTTTCCCACCAAACCATCACTAGCCGAGCATTTTGTCCCTCTTGAGCATCACGTTTTTAATGAAGTCTCCAACATCATTTTCTCTTGGGTGCTCTCATCTCACCACCATGAAGATAAAAACATGGTGTGGGGGGTTTTTTTTTGGGTTTTGTTTTTGGTTTTGTTTTTAAATGAAAGCTTTTCAGCAGTGACTACAGCTTTCAGTTCCCCCCACCAAGGCCTGGCAGATTTGCCAACCTGGTTGAGTTTGCTCACCTACTAATGTGCATTTTCCCTTTGGCCAGTGTTCTTTTATGTGCTGGGCACCTGAGATGCCATTGACTTTTTTTCTAGCATTTATAGGTTTAATTCTCCTTAGAAACAAAGCTGCACATCTCCCTGCCTTTATCTTTTCCCAGCTGTTAAATTCTATTATTCTATTCTAATTCTATTATTCTCTGTGGCTGCGATGCTTTTTAATCTGAGAGCATTTGAGTGCCCTATGCCTGAATTATGTGGACGTTTTCCAGCAACAACAAACGAGTACAACTGCATTTTGTTGTCTTCCCTAGGTTGGCACCGGCGCGACAGTTGCCACGCTGGCCGATGCCTCAGAGCTGCCCACCACCGTCACCGTCGCACAAGTCAATTATTCTGCAGTGACTGATGGAGAGGTAAGGACCTGGGTCACGTTCGTGGTGCACAAACCAGAATTGACTTCCAAAAAGTTAAATATTTTCTAGAATTGAGTGGTCCCAGAAAACGCCAAGCTTTGCTTCCCTACTCTGCAGTTGTCGTGGTTTAGGGCTGGGCTGGCCACTAAATCCTGGACAGACGCTCTCTATGAACCCCTCTGCCCTCCCCAGAAGGGAAGAGGAAAGAGAAGAAGGGAGAGAGACTTCAGGGGTTGGAAAATAAACTAACAGATTTAATAAAACAATAATACTGATACTACAGGATAATGATGTAAATAGGAAAATAATGGAATAGATACAGACATGTACAAATAGAGATACAAAACCAATCTAAAATCCTCCCCCAGTGACGATGACGTCCCCAGAGGCTCTGGGAGCACTGGCAAAGTCCCAGTGTGGAGCCAGCAGCAGTGAGAGCTGATGCAGGAACACAGGGCTGAGGATGAGAGGCAGGCGAAGCAGCAGGGTCTGCTGGGCCTTGGGCCATTGCAGGGGTGGAGAGGGAAGGAAGGGTCCAAGGTGGAAGGGTGGAGCCCCTGGGGATCCCTGGGCTTTGCACTGAGTGTGGGTGTGTGGGATGGTTGGGCGGGTTTGGGTCTGCCCCTCCTGTAGGTGCAGCCACGGCAGCCATGGTGAGCCAGTGGCCTTGCCATGTTTCCATCCCATCCCAGCACTATCACTTGTAGAAGGGAATGCTGTTGTTAAACCATGCTGCTGGTTTCAGCAAGTTCAGCCCCTGAGAAGAGACTGAGCTGGAAAGCAAAATCACTGAATATTTAGCCCAAACCAGGACAGCAGTGTTAAGGGTTAAAATACATATGGACATGAAACTGCATAAAATTTCACACAGAAAGTGCAGAACTGTTTTTATTTTGACTCAGGCCTGGACAAATGCAGTCATGGAAGCCTCAGCTCTGAATTGCATACATTTTTCGATATTTCCTATAGATTATTTATGTTGTGAGATCTGCTGTAGCAGACAGATTTGATGAGAAACACAAATACCCATTCATATATAATAAGATATTAAATAATTTCGTATGTGCTGTAGATCCTGGGTGCTGGTTTGTCAGTTCAGGGTTGGGAGCAATACCTTGATATTTCGAGCCTGTGGCTGTCAAAGGATATCACATTGCTGTGGGCAGATCCTGCAAGTTTTTGGCCAATCTATGGACAAGATGGGACCGTCGATTTGCTGCTGCTTTTAGGGAGGTTTGCAAGGAAATCCTGGAGAGAAAATTGTATAAATGCCTGGTAGTGAAGAGGCAACAGGAGATACCGTGGAGTTACTGTTCCATTTACTGTGATATTTCCTTTCACTGCTTCACAACTTGGCAAAGTTGTTTCTGTCGAGGACTCGATCAGACCATTTCAACCCTTAAATCTGAACACTCACGTTCGCATACATTTATTTTTCCACTTTTTTTTCCCTTAAAATCAAGTAAGAAAGTTTGTGTGTGTGTGTTTAAGGAACGTTTCTTTAAGACTACAAATATATATATTTAAAATCTTCTTTTCTACCACCAAACCCACCTTTAAACCAGGCTGCAGGTCGTTTTCTGCCCCTTTTCGTGGCACAATTTCTGCCCTGTGTGAGGTCTGCTCTGCTCTGGGCTTTCACAGCGACAGGTGGCAGCACAGAACAGCTTTGCTCTGCGCCAGCCCCTGCTTCCATCTCAGTCCCGTGCTGACACAGCCTGGCTTGGGGACCGTCACCTTGAAGTGCTTTGCTGCTGCTGTGAGGGTTTTCAAGAACCCATTTCTTGAGATGTGAAATACATTTTTCAAATAGAAATCCCAGGTATGCAGGCATCTAATTCCTAATGTGAACATCCAAGTGATATCTTGGACAAAATAAAGGTACAGAAGTAAACTTGCTTTGGGGATGGCCGCTTGTTTCTCTGCACAGCTGGATCCACAGCATCCAGGCAGCCTCTCTAGGGACGTTTTTGCCCTGTGATCTCTTGCTGTGTGAAGATCTGAGTTAGCTCTGAGTAAATGGATGCGTTTATAGGATTC